ATTCACTGCAAATACCTTTTTTAAACAACATAAAAGACCACTACAGACACGGACTTCACCAGATGGAAGCTCAGCTGAAATCTGTCCAACATGGAGTGGCCCTGCTGGTATTTAAAAGACTGCCAGCATAGCTTCCAGCACCACAACACACAAACCACCACAGTATGGCAAATTGATAGATGAGTGATGGTTCAATAGTAATGTTGTTGCTGTTAAGTGTTGTCAAGTTGTTTCTGGCTCACAGCGACCCTGTATAGGGTTTCTGAGGAGCGGCTGGTGAATTTAAACCACTGACCTTGCAGCACATTAACCCGCAGTGCTACACCAGGACTCCTCAATAGTAACAAAAGTTAGCAAACAACAGAATATTTTCAATGGGTAAAACCTATTGAAACAAAATCTATCAACCTAAATTTCCACAGTCTGTGAAAATTCCTTCATGTGAAAAGATGAAATAAAAACAATTTTCCTGCAAAGAAAATGTAAGAAGACTTTAGGAGACCTGCAGGGACAATAGGAGGAAACACTGAAGGCAGTGGGAAGATGAGAGATATGTGGGGATGGTGGGAAAAACTAAAAGAAAATGGAAATATATTCTCTGGAAGAAAATGATTCATGTAGCTCAATGCTTTAATTATTTCTTTGTTAGTCTTTTTAGGATTCTACAGGCAAGTTCTCTTGCCTAGCATTAATACTCTACCTGCCTCAAGATTGTGTGTGCTGCATTTAACTGCACATCTGGAAGAAGTCTATTTTAGATTATGTTTTTAATAGAAGATCATATGTCCAAAATACTACGACAACTGAACAAGGTTAATAAAGTTTCTATCATTATGGCTCTTGCTTATCTATTTCTTATAAATACTAAACAAGTAGACTAATGATAAGAAATAAAAATCATTTCACCCTTTAGAGGGAAAATATTCAACATTAACGCTCATAATAATAACTTCAAATCAGATCATTACTACCTATCATTTTTTCTGAGTCCCTGGATGGCACAAATGGGCTGCTCTCAGCTACTAACTGACAAGTTGGTGGTTCAAACAGGAAAAGTACTGCTGTTGAAGAAAGTCCTGGTAATCTGCTTCTGCAAAGATTACATTTAGGAAAACCATACAGAGCAGTTCTTGTCTATAACACATGCGGTCACCATGAATTGGAATC